ACTGTGGAGATTGCGGCAAACTGAACTGCATACTGAATGGTACGCGCAGGCTGATCTGACCTGAATAACGACCAGGCTGATCGCTCTTAAAGAATCTTACTGTCGACAACCGGTGCTGAAGAAAAAAATGTACGCGCACACACACACACACACACGCACACATGCAGGGGAGCTGTGACCCCATGCCACCCCCAAAAAACAGAGGTCTCAGGTTTGATTAATTGTAGCTGGAGGGGTTATCAGAGAGCATGACACCAGGGTGCACAGATCATCTGCTTCAGAGATAAACGGGGCAAAAAGAAGAAAGAGGACTAGAGTCAAAAGAAAGGAGGTCAGGATTGGGGAAGAAAGGCTACGGAACGGTAGGATTAACATGCAGAATCAAATTGATGGGGACAAAAAGAAAGTGACAAGAATAATATTACAGTCACTTTTCAGTTTTGGCCTGTTTGATTCTTTGCTTTAGCCATACCTCTTTCAAACGTGTTCCTTCACCCGTGACGTATGAGCTACTGCGACATCAAATATGTGCTGCTCAGGTACGTCAGAGGCAGCCAGATGTAGCTATATAGATCCACGAGTGCTATTTAAAGCCTATTACAATGCCATCTAACTTATATCATTAACAGGGGGTCATATTTCAAGCATGATGCCTCCTCATTGTTCCCATTTATATTCTTATGCACATCAATCGAGAAAGTGTTCTGTGATGAGACAAAGCTAGTACTTTCATTACTGGGTTTAAATGGTCAGATTTCGCTTAGCATTTCGGAAAAATTTAAAGTAATAGCAGAACAGATTTTTTAGGTATTTTTGCATTAATTGCTTGAAAACAACAAGCAGGACAAAGGAGCATGACCAGCCCAAATGACGCTATGTGCTGTCATGTCAATTTCTTTTTCACTTCAAGAGGTCTGGACTAAAGAAAGAAAGACAATATAAACACTCTCAAGTCTATGACATGTTATTTATCAAACACATATTTTGTATCAATAATAATAATAATAATGATAATAATGATCATTATTATTAATAATCATTATAATAAAAGGAGAATCAATCTGAATACAAAACTCTTATAAAAATGTGTGTTAAGATGAAATAAGGGGAAAGAAATTACTTGATTTAGTCTTGATGTTAAACGTACCCGTTTCAGCATCATGACAAGCACTAACCAAGCCCAAGATGCCCACATATACTGATCTTACCTTCTCCCACTCTCTCTCCTTGTTGAGAACAATGACCACCAGCTTTGGATTTTCCTGGTAGCCGTCCTCCGTGAATGACAAGTCTCTGCCATCCCACGTCACATTCATCATGTACCTGAGAGCCAATGAGCAAAGGATAAGGAATTGCAGGTCGGATGGCAAGAAGTAAGACAGATGAGGAGGACGGAGAGGGTGATAATGGAAAATTCAGTAAATGAGACAATGAAAGGAATGAATAGTGGTGATGAGAAATAGAGGGGAAATGAAATTGAATTACATTAGCATGTGAAAAGTCAATTCACAATCCACAAGCATTGCAGACAACTTCTATTAACATGGAGTTTTTTTTTTTTGTACTGAGAGTTGTAGTCATGTTTTATTAATGTGACGGATTATGATTATACCCAAAAATGAAGGAACCAAACAAAAGCATCAAAAAGCATGTGTTGCCGCACAGTTCAACAGCTACTATAAACGTCAAGAAGAAGAAAAGGAAAGAAAAGACAATGTCAGATCCATCCTGTGCAAAAATGACTTCAATATAATTAAAAAGGCTATTGCTTCTAAATCATTGCAATGAACAGTTGTTGTATCAGAATGGTATTTGCAGTTCTGAAAATCTACATTTACATTCATTATATGAAAAAAATCTCATTCACATGCAATCTAGCAAAGCTGACCAGGTTAACACCAAACAACCCTGAAATGAGCCAAGGAAGATCGGACAAAAGTGCTAAATTATGAATCAGTTTCTTCGGAAATAGTTGTGCCTGGGTATCTCATCGGTAGCGAAATTCAAGATTTCCACTGACACGTTTGAAGCACTGTCTGAGCTCAACTGAGCAGCACATGGTCAGCTGAGGTGTAAGTGGGATGCCTCTGCTTTTAGTACACTGGGTTGATATTTTCCCTTTTTTTTAACTGAAAGAAGGATTCTATGCTTTAGTGTACAGCAGGTGTGACATGGTGTAATCCAAAATATATCTCTCTACAATAAGTGACTAATCACTGTTATATTTCCAAACCCTCCTTTAACACATAATTTCAAAAAATCTACAAAAACATCTCTGAGTGTGTTTATGATGTACGCAAGAGGAAATGTCCTACTTGTGGACTTTACGAGCCATTACGAGGTGATACAAATTTGAGACATCTGTCATTTCTACAC